AGACGCCATTGATTCGCTCAGCGACCTTCACGGCCTGTTGCCACGTGGAGGGGTTCGCGATTTCGACCTGAAGTTGAGTTTGAGTGACCAGTCCAGAAATAAAGTACTCGCGGAGCATGTCATCGGCGGGATTGCTCAACTGAAGGGCCAGGTCGCGGAAGCGTGTGATATAAGATGCGATATCTTTGACAGAGGTCTGTTTAAGGTCTCGAGCTCCATAAGGATAGCGCGCTCATGGTCTGATGGTTTAAATTCGTTGGTGAAGGCAGTTTTGAACTCCTCCCATGGTGTGTCGTCGGTGAGGGTTGACATACGGTACCAGGTAAGAGCAGTACCCCGCAGGTGGTCAGCAGCGGCGGAGGTCCACTCCATCGGGGTGAGCTTGGTACGTCTGCAGTATCGCTCGAGCTCCTCCAACCAGTCGCGCGTAGCCAGAGCGTTGCGACCGCCATGGAAGAGCTGTGGTTTGGGGGGTTTGTAGGCAGAAACGGAGCGAGATGAGTCTTGGATGACCGATTGGATTTGGTGGTAGGCGCGCTGCCTGTCAATGGCATTCGAAAGGTTTAGGCTGCTAAGGCCATTGACGAGGGAATCGATGGAGTCCATGATGCTGGTTCGAGTGGTAGGTAATGAGGTGTCTGGGGGTGTCTGGGGGTGTCTGGGGGTGTCTGGGGGTGTCTGGGGGCGTCTGGGGTGTCTGGGGTGTCTGAGGTGTCTGGGGTGTCTGGTGTCTGAGATATCTGGGGTGGATCGAAAGGCACCTTTGCTACCAATGCAAACGGTCAAATCAGGTGGAAGTGGATCTAGGGTGGAAAGGAGGCTTTATTCGTATCAATGCTGCTGTCTAGTTCTACGTGTGGATGGGGTTTATATAAACTGGCTGGATAGATAGCAACAGTGTTCTAGAAAGTCGTAGAAAGATGGGCGAAGCGCTGATGACATCATAATGCACTTAACCGAGCATAAACCTGTTGCAAATTCCCTCCTCTTGTCTGGACAAGAGGAGTGAGCCCCTTCCAGAGTTAAGTCAATATTCTTCAAAAAATAAATTTGGTCTTCAATCTCTGTTGGCACTCGCTCCTCTGCATAAAAATGAAAATATCTCAACCCCGGATACTCACCCCGCCCCTGGCGCTATGGCTCCTGTCTCGGATCTACCCCAACCTCATTCTCCTGTGGTGTCTAGGTCGACTGAGACAGTGGACCTGGACCCACTTGCCTCTCTCGCTCCTTTAGCACCACCTCTCTCCAAGCGCCAGGCTCAACTTCAGCGTAAGCGTGCAATTAAGCTGCAGTCGTTCACCACGGCTGTTGCTGAACGCACTTTGCTCACATTTATTGGTTCTGTCAGTGGACACCCTGCACGTATTCTTATTGATGGTGGAGCTGAGGGAAATGTCATCAGCAAGACCTTCCAGCGCCATCACTCTATCCCACTCGTCCCCTGTTCCCCCATCCCAATTATCCTTCCCGACGGTTCCTCTTCTCTCACTCAACACACTGCCTCCATCTCCCTCGCCCGCGACAACTACGCAGATACCCTTCAACCACTCCTCTATGACCTCCAATCCTACGACCTCATCCTCGGCAAACCCTGGCTCACTCAGATCAATCCTTCTATCAACTGGCGCGACAACAGTCTTCACTTTCACCACAAAGGCGTTTCCGTTCGATGGTCCTGCAAAGGCTTTGCACCCTCTTCTGTAACCGCTAAGTCTCGTGGCTTACTGTTGAGCCATATGCATTTTAATTCACTCGCTGCTCAGCCTGGCAGCGAAGTCTTCCTCGCTCTCGTTAAACAGGAAACAGCAACCAAGGCAGCACCTCGCCTTCCACCTGACATCCGCCCCATTGTAGAGAACGAATTCCCCGACGTCTTTCCCGATGGCCTCCCAGCTGGTCTTCCACCAGACCGTGGAGATGCCATGAAAATTGACACTGACCCCACGGCTGATCCACCTGTTCGACCTGTTATTCGTCTTTCAATTGCTGAGCTGGACGAACTCAGGAAGCAGCTGGATGATCTGCTCGCCAAAGGATTCATCAAACCCAGCACATCGCCATACGGAGCGCCAGTCCTCTTTGTTAAAAAGAAAGATGGTACACTTCGCATGTGTGTAGACTATCGTGGACTCAATCGCATCACCAGAAAGAACCGACACCCCCTCCCCAGAATTGACGAACTCATCGACCGGTTCCGCGGCGCTCGCTACTTCACCAAACTCGACCTATTATCTGGATACCATCAGCAACGCATCTTCGAACCACACACTCACAAGACCGCGTTCCGTTGTCGATATGGCCACTTGAGTTCAATGTCGTTCCTTTTGGTTTAACTAATGCACCTGCTGCTTTTTCGAACATGATGTTCAATGTCCTTGATCCCGTATTGGACAAATGGGTTGTTGTCTACCTCGACGACATTCTTATTTATTCCAAAACCAAAGCTGAGCACCTGTCCCACATCCGAAGCGTCCTTTCGCTACTCCGCAAGAATGGTCTTTACGCGAAGCTGAGCAAATGCTCCTTCATGCAAGAAGAGACCGAGTTCCTCGGCCACGTCGTCTCCAAAGACGGCATCCACACGTCCGCCGGTCATGTTAGAGCCATCCGCGAGTGGCCGCGCCCCACCAAGCAGAGAGATGTCCAGCAGTTTATTGGCCTCGCTCAGTTTTACCATCAGTACATCCGTAATTTTGCTGACATCGCTCTACCTTTGACCGCACTGCTAGGTGAAGGCGTTGAATTTTCTTGGGACCAGGACAAGGAGCACGCCTTCACCGCCCTCAAGGAAGCAATCAGCAAGGCTCCAGTCCTCAGGATTTTCGACCCCGATCTGCCAACGACTGTAGAGACAGATGCTTCAGGATTCGCGCTCGGCGCAGTTCTATTTCAGACGGATGAGCACGGCGAGTCTCGACCAGTAGCATTCACATCGCGGAAGTTCAACTCAGCCGAACGGAATTACCCAACCCACGAGCAGGAGTTGCTCGCTGTAGTTCATGCCCTCAAGCAATGGCGCTATTACCTAGATGGCACGCATTTTATTGTGTACACAGATCATGCGACGCTCAGACATTTTCCAACCCAACCAAAGCTCACCCGACGACAGGCGCGCTGGATGGAGCTCCTGCAAGAATACAGTTTCGATTTCAAGTACAAGCGTGGCGCGGACAACGTCGTCGCGGACGCTCTCTCACGTCGGCCTGACCACCAAGAAGAATCACCACCAGTTGAAGTCAACAATTTGGACATCCGCATTGACCCAGGCTTAAGGCAGCGCCTGGTGGATAGCTACCTCGATGACCCTAGTCTCGGTCCTATCTACAAAAGCTGCCTCGAGGGAAGTCCACCCCCACGTTATTCTTTAATTGATAAATTGCTCTACGTTTCTCGTCGTGGCAACACTCTTGTTTGCATCCCTCAGAAGTCTGACATTCGTTTGCTTCTTCTACACGACGCCCACGATTCTGCTATTGCCGGCCATCTCGGTTTTGACAAGACGTACCATGCCCTTCGACGCATTGTATACTGGCCCAAGATTACCCACGACACTCGACTCTATGTGCAGACATGCGAGAGCTGCCAGCGCAGCAAGCCAAGCCAGCAACGACCTGCAGGATTACTTCAGTCTCTGGAAATACCAGCACAGCGCTGGGAGACAGTGACCATGGACTTCATTGTGCAATTACCCAAGACACCTCGTGGTCATGACTCCATCACCGTTTTTGTGGACAAGCTATCAAAGCAAGTCCATTTCGCCCCCAGCAGCACAAAGGATACAGCATCAGACGTGGCACGCCAATTTTTTCATAACGTCTTCAGACTCCATGGCATGCCCACCACCATCGTCTCCGACCGCGACTCCAAGTTCACAAGCCGCTTCTGGAAAGAGTTGCACCGCCTCATGGATGTCAAGCTAGCGATGTCAACTGCCTTCCACCCTCAGACCGATGGACAAACGGAACGTGCCAATCGAACTTTGGAATCTATTTTGCGCGCGTTCGTGGATCAACGACAAACAAATTGGGATTTACTTCTATCAGCCGCAGAGTTCGCATATAATAATTCGATTAATGCCACCACTGGTCACTCACCATTTTTTTTGAACAACGGATTCCATCCTCGAGTCCCGGCCTCACTTCTCCATACCCAAAGCAGCCCCAACCCCAGTGTTACCGAGTTCATGGAGTCACAGAGTTCCGCATTGATTGTTGCACAGGAGGCAATTGCTGCAGCACAGGAACGCCAGGCACGGAACGCAGATACCCGTCGACGAGATCACGATTTTAAAATTGGAGACAAAGTGCTACTCAACGCAGAAGACATCACTGTTGCAGCGGATCGCAATCGCCCGACCAAAAAGCTGCAAGATCGATTTATTGGCCCCTATACAATCCTGGAGCAGCACTCACCAGTTTCTTTTCGCGTTGAGCTGCCACCCACTATGAAGATCCACGATGTCTTCCACGTCGATCGCTTCCGTGAATACAAACCATCACCTGAAGGCCTTGGACAACGTGCACCGGCTCGACCACCACCAGAGATTATTGACGGAGAGGAGGAATACGAAGCAGAGACTATCTTGGACCATCGACAGCGAAACAATAGGACGGAATACTTAATCCAATGGCATGGATACCCCAGGGAGGATTCGACATGGGAACCGGAGAGCAACCTTACGCACTGCACTCGACTCTTACGACAATACAAGCGCAGCCATGGGGTGTGATTTTTTTTTTAAAATGGGAAGGTGCAACAGAATTACCACTCGGTTACCAAGCTGCACGGTTACGACACACAGAGCCAGGATGGGAGCCCGGCATCATGACAACTCCACTACGACACTGTACAATAGGCCCCAGACATGTATATATAGACCCTACTTACGATCATTAAACAGCATTCATTTCTACGCATTCCTACTTGACCACTGCCCTTGACCCCTTGACTCTGCTGCTGTTGCAGTGCGCCGCTGCAGTGTAGGGGCGTTTGCATTCTACATGTTCGATCGGTTCCAGGTGCGCTTTTTTTTTGTTGTTGTTGTTGTTGTTGTTTGGGCCAAATATGGATACTCAACATAACATCATCCACTTGGATACATAGAACAAGGGAGAGCCTCCACCAAATCTAAATGACCGCAACTGGCTCCAGTTCAAAGTTTTACGAGGAACCAACCTTGACCCTACAACTCCAATCACTTATGCCACTACTAGGGAGTCTACATTGAGGACATTCGAGCGACAAGAACTCTCATGTGCCTACATTACACATTCTGGTCGACATAGTGGCTCGATGGAGGGTCAAAGGTTGCAAATCCCTTTGGAAGATATCAGGAGAGCTGGACGATGGGTACATGGCAATGGAAAGCTGGAGAATTACTACCTCAACGAGTATCCGTGGAATTTTGCGTTTGCCATAGCAGGCTTCAAGGAGAGGCCGTTTCATTTGAAGAGGAACGAGGTATCGCCGCCCTTGGATCTTCAGAGAAAAGTCTTCCCTTTTATCGAAAGCTCATTCGATAACGACAAAGGGATGGACCAAGCATGGCGAAAGGAGTGCGATATGGAGATGATGGAGTACAATCCCAATGAGAAAAGTCAGCTTCGCGACATCAAGCCTCGGATTCCTATGTCTAGCACATACGAGAAAGCACCTGTTCATTTTTCCGATTCTATGAGGGCCAAGAAGTGCTACCTACGGATGCTTCTTCGTACGCGACGAATTATCTTGCAGGATGCAGCCGAGTACTTGTGTGAGTATTCGTATCTGCAATCGCCTTTGTTAAAGAACAAAATTTTCCAGACACAAGAATTTCAAGAATTCAAGGGTCTTATCAAGGAGAGACTGCAGATCAAAGAGCGATCAATGCCTGACGGCATTTCCCCAAAGGTCCTACAACTGTTCGCAAATCAACGAGAAGAAAGCAAAGAGGAAAAATCCCGGCTAGAAAGGGTTATTACAGCCTTGATGGAAGAGCGGCGAGAAATGCGGCAAGAGATGCAGCGAGACCGTGCACAGCTGACTCACTTGACGGCACTGCTTACCGCCAGACCGATGTCGCTACCCATACCAGCAGCACAGTGGACAACAGGAGCATTGTGGTCGCCAGGCCTTACTTACCCCTCATACACACATCCCGCATACTACCCGCCGCCAGTATCGGAGTCTCCCAACTCTTGCAATAATTGTTCATCAGCATCAGCACTGCACACTATGCCTGCAAGAGCTACTGCAAAGTCGATGACAGCAGGGCCTGCTCCACCATCATTCTCAACAAGGACACCTGCCGTGTTGCCAACAAGGGGGTATGCCGAAATCGCCCCACGCCCAAAGCAAGGCGCTCCAGACCCAGATAAGGCTGAAGAGTTCTTTGAAATCAGTTACTATCTTGAATCTGCAGGGGACGTCTACGAGGAGTACACAAGGTACCGGACATATCGCGCCAGTCAGAAAAGGCAGGGCAAAGCCGAGGATATCCTGCCGAAAACGAGAAAGCAATTGAGCAATTGGAAATTCATCGTCATGGAGGTCGAACATATTCAACAACAAGGAATCCAAAAAGGGCTGACCAACAAACAAGCACTTACTGAGGCATTCGCCCAGTTAACGCGCTCAATGTCTGAGACGTATGGTGGAAAGAAGCTGAGCATCAATAAGATGGTCGAGTATTGTCGCAAGAGGGTGAAAGGAAGAGAGAATGGAAACAATGAAAATAGGGAACACGACGCCCAAGACGTCCAAGAAGAAGAAGAAGAAGAAGAAGAAGAGGAGGAGGAGGAGGAGGAGGAGGAGGAGGAGGAGGAAGAGGAGCAGCTGAGAAGAAAGAGGCACTGAAATGGTGTAATAAATTTTCCCTTGCGTTAAGAAGCTCGAGAGCAAGTAAACATGGATTATTTTTTTTTTCCCTCTTTTTTTTTTTCTGCGTGTATTATGTGTGTAGGCAAGGTTCACGGGTCCATGGGTCAACACACCCCGTCGCCTTTGGAACGTCTACACACATCAAGCGGTAAGATGGTAAATGTGTGCAATGAGAGCATATTTTGGCCGATTTTTGGTCGTTTCCAACTTTTTCACTTTTTTCCAATCCAGGGCGCTCTAGACCAAGGGTTTTATTGGATTTGACTTGGAAAAAAATCTTGTGGCTGAAAACCAGTCGAACCTCTCTAAAATCAACCAAACATATCGATCCCCTCTGCATTGAATTGACAAATAAGGAAATTACAATAAGAGAGGGCTGGAATCGAGCCTAGGGTACAGGGGCAATTGGTGGAAAAATAAAAATCAAAGGGTGCTTGGGACAATTGGACAATGGGTGGTTGGTGGTCGAAGGAACCTTTGCTACCATGCAACAGCAGCAGAGTCAAGGGGTCAAGGGCAGTGGTCAAGTAGGAATGCGTAGAAATGAATGCTGTTTAATGATCGTAAGTAGGGTCTATATATACATGTCTGGGGCCTATTGTACAGTGTCGTAGTGGAGTTGTCATGATGCCGGGCTCCCATCCTGGCTCTGTGTGTCGTAACCGTGCAGCTTGGTAACCGAGTGGTAATCCTGTTGCACCTTCGCGGAAAGGATGCCAGCGTTGAAAAGTACGTCGCGGGATTAGTAGGCGTCAAGGATGCAACAGGTACAACTGTTTATTCGAGAATGATGTCATGGTCATAACCATGCTGCGCCTAGTTTCTAGAGCATTCCAACACAACTGTGTTTAGTATATAAGAGCCCTTCAAACGTAGGATTAGACAGCAATCAATCATCGAATAAACCTCTGATTCCACCCTAGAACCCCTCCGACTCCTGACTATTTGCAATCATGGATACTCATCGGATTTTCTTCACGATTTTTTTATTTTGTAGATGAATGGCATACCTATCGATTGAGGGCATTGATGCCTCTCTCCTATAAGTATAACCATAGCAATTGGCCGTTTTGTGATGTTGAAAGAGTTCAAGAGTGATTCAGTGTCCAAGTTCTCTTTTCGCCCCCTGCTCTCCCCCCACGATTTGCATTGGTTTTGTGCGTAAAACTTTATTTCAGATTTTTACTATCCACCGTGAGAAAATCTAAAGGCCCTTGTATGTGTATGGAAACTCTATCAGTTCTAGTAGCGTTGTCGTAGCCGTTTATTGCTGAGATCGTGGCCTTGTTTCCGAGGAAAACTTGCTTCAAACAAATCGAGGGCATCTTGAAATTGTTGGTGTGCTTGTTGTAAGTATAGATTGTGCTGCATATTCAGCTGAGTCCAGTGTGCTATATTACTACAGTATGGTGCAAAACTGATTCAATGATGCGATGATTTTTGCGTTGGCACTCGCCTACAAGGAACCAATGCCTCAGCCATCGTCATATTCACCACAAATGTAGCCCATCCAATGACGAACAGGGCTGCTTGCTTTGGAGCCAGAAGTATGCACACCCATTGCTGCATGACGATTGTGCCATCCGTCATCATTGAATCAGTTTTGCACCTACTCCTTGAATACGAAGAACAGATTTTTTTTTTATTCAAAATGGTACCTCTTTAGTACTTAGTTTGCTTGCCCTTCGCTCTATGGACCGCGCTGAGCCTCCTCGGCATGCTCCTGATGAGTTCCCGGCAGAAATCAACTGGTATCTTGTACCATTCCGTTGATATTCTCTCCCATAGCTCCTTGCAGCTTTTTGGCGGATTTGGATACTTTCCCAGCTGTACTTTGAGATAGGCCCACATATGCTCGATCGGGTTCAGATCAGGAGACTGTGCTGGCCAATATAGAAGGCGCTCATCAGCCTCAGTCATATGGACGGACTCCAGAAATGCCTTGGTGACCTTGGCCGTATGCTTCGGATCGTTGTCGTGCTGGAAGATGAATTCGTCCTTGGCCATGCCCCACTCCTCGACAGACATCTGTAGATCCTCCTTCAGAATCTGGATATACAACTGGGAGTCCAGGGTCTCATCGATCTTTGCGATATAGCCAGGTCCGTACCATGACATACAAGACTGTGGCATATAGCCATATTACATGCTGCCACCGCGTGTATTTAATTAGATCCAGCGAGTCCTATCAATTTACTTAAGCCACCGAGTAACATATAATGTTCTCGGTGGATTAATATTAAAGATCCCTCTCTTGCTCTCATTGACTCCTGGTTCATATATACTTCGCAAAGACCATACCATGACGCTTCCGCCGCCAAACTTGACTGTTCCCTGGACTGTACGGCTTGTCAGTCGCCCCGGAGCGTCGTCCCAGACCCACCTAATGCCATCAGAACAGATCCTATTGATTTTGCACTCGTCTGACCATACAACTGTGGCCCAGTCCTCTTCCGTCCACTCTTTGTATTTCTTGACAAACTGCATCCGACCTCTAATGTGCTTTGTTTTGAGTGCTGGTCGCTTGACAATCTTTTTGGCCACTAGTCCAGCTTCCCGAAGTCGCCGTCGAACTGTCCACACCGATACAGGTCGTGCCAACATCCTGTTGGCCTCGCTCTTGGCCTCCACGGCAGTCCTAAGAAGTCCGCGCTTCATGTTCAGCTTGAGGTGCTCCACGGTTTCTTGACCAATCTTTTTCGGACGGCCTCCCTTGTTGCTCGGCATGTTTTCTTTGTAACCTGAACGTATTCTGCTAGCCGTTGCCTGAGAGATGGTAAGACGTTGGGCTGTCTCACGAGTGGAAATACCCTCAGACATGAGGCTTATTGCTTCCTTAACAGTGGATGGAGGTACGGGCTTCATTTTTTGCAGATAGATAGAGTAGAATAAGGCAAACAGGAAAACAAAACACAAAATGGGTTCATTTATAATGAATCTGATGAAAATGACGATGGTATTTAAAATTACATAAAAATGAGGTTAAGGTGCAAAACTGATTCAATGATGACGGATGGCACAATCGTCATGCAGCAATGGGTGTGCATACTTCTGGCTCCAAAGCAAGCAGCCCTGTTCGTCATTGGATGGGCTACATTTGTGGTGAATATGACGATGGCTGAGGCATTGGTTCCTTGTAGGCGAGTGCCAACGCAAAAATCATCGCATCATTGAATCAGTTTTGCACCATACTGTATATAAATCTATCACCTCTGAAACTTAATCTAGAGTTGATTAATAAATATCGTGTAGATGTGTGTTTGGAGCACATCTCTTTCTCACTGACTTCAAAAACCACCATATATTTCATTTTTTTCAGTGAAGATACTATCCACACACACACACACACATACACACACACACACACACACACACATACACACACACACACACACACACACACAATTCCAAAACAACAACATGAACACCGACGGTATCAACAACCTCTCCCTCGATGACCAGCAGATGGATGTCGATAATGAGAGTCAGCCATCGGGCAATGCTCCTGAGGCGACACCGACGGACCAAGAAATCCTGGCTCAGATGAACGAGCGCCGCCGGTCGCTGAGAGAAAAGAAAGCTGACCTTAGCCGTGCTCTTGCCCTCGCACCTGATGACAGCGGTGTGGCAGAGAAAGAGCAAGCCCTTGAAGGGGTTATCCACGAGCTAACGGAGCTTGAAAAGCGAATTCGCTTATTCATTGAGTCCATGGAAGACAGGGCTTCGCTGAACGATGCGATGGGTCCCAAGACCAAAAGACAATGTAATGACCTTCCGCCCCTTTCAGAGAATAAAAAATTCGAAGAATCGTTGAAAGTGACGAAGGATATGCCGCGTTTTAAAAACGACAGCGATCCTAGGGCGTTCTTGGACCAGGTGAAGCACATTGTTTGCGCCTATGTGGGAGATGACATGTTTGAGGATCAATGTAGCCGCTACTTGTCGTATCTCACTGTGAGCTCCTTCCACAGTCAAGCCCTCAAAGAAGAGTTTGCAAAAAGACCGAAGACGAAGCTGACCTGGGATGAGTGCGAAGCAATCTTTCTAAAGATTGCGTTGACCGAGCAAGAGCGCATCGAACAGATAAAACAACTGTTGCCGACTGGGCGAGAGAGCAGAGAGACTTACCGCCAGTTTGCCATGCGTATTTCTCGAGACATTCGCATCTATGGTGTCAAGGATGACAACGAAATGGTTCTCACATTATTGAGTGCCACCGTGTCTCCTGATACTCTCAACAACATGGTCGCTCGCCTTCATGTCAGGAAGGGGGCCGCAGTTGACTTTACTTCTATCAACGACTTCACAAGCGTTCTTAGCGGTTTGGTCGGCCCGCAAGCGCATATCAATAGAGACGCTAACGGTACTTCTGCTGGTATCTCGACAGGTGCTTCGCGCAACAAGCGCAGCAGGGGATCGAATCGATTCTCCCCAACGAACAAGAAGCCCGAACCGAAAGAGGCATTCCGTGGCCCCAACAATCGAGCAGGTCAGCTGCTTGACTGCAAGCTCTGTGGTATGAACCCCACCCATGAGACTGCAGGCCACAAGCAGTGTTCCAAATGTGGTCGACGCGGCCACAGCGATGCCGAATGCCGCGGAGACAGGCACATGCCTCGATTGTCCGGTAAGAGCACAACGAATGATAATAATCATACTGTCCAAACAATCTCGGTTGTCCAAATAAGCAATCAATCCAATGAGCCTTGCCCTCTGCTACCTTCAATGACTCAGGTCCCTACAAGCCTAACCGAGGGCGCAAGTGAAGGAGGCAGTGAATTAGGAGCAAGCAAAATACACAATAAAATTGACGCGCAACATATCTCAACCGTTATGGATAATGGACACAATGCCAATTCAGGCAATAAACAAAGAAAAAGGAATAGCCGTAAAAAAGATGGCACAAAATGTGAGGCTACGAAAGAGGAGCCCATGCAGAAAATAAGGTTGTCCACGTTGGCGAACAATCATATGGCACGCGATCAGACTAATGCTTCCGCGTGGCACGAAATTATTTTTGACAAACAACCGCGCATCGCAATGAATCCTGCTTTAGCGCAGTCTGTAGCCAATCCTGATGTACTGCCACGCTCTGCAATATCACCTTATCGCGCTTACAATCCATATGTCAATGACATCCCTGAATTAATTGATCTCGAAGAGATGTATGAAAAAGAACGACAGACTGATAAAAACAGCAACGAGGACTATGAATGTCTAAACCGTCAAATTCGAATTTCATCGTTGAACAAAATCGACGGTAATACATTCGAATTCACTAAATTGAATGTTAACAGAGACCACGCGGACAGAAGAATCATTGTCACTGTCACTTTTGAGGATGAAAAATACGAGGC